GGCCTCTTTGAAGGTCACATGACTAGGCAAATCCAATTTACAATCCACGAAAGCTGCTTCAAGAGTTGGAAATTCCCTGTAAGGACAGGATTCTTGGCTCCTCTGTGATAGTACCTTAAATGCTAACAAGACTGACCCTAATGTCCACCCTATCCCTGGTCTAATTTGGCTGTTCACTACCCCACCTCAAACCTTGTGTGAAAATAAACTCATGGTCCTGAGGGAGAAAAGTTGACTTTTCTGCTTCCCTTAGACCTTTACTGACTTCATCCAGAAAGCCTCCCTCTGAAATGGTCTATCTGCAGACTTCTTGCCACCAGAATTCTAACAGGTCCTTAACCAGAACAATCCTTGCTCTCCTGCCTTCTTGCCCCCTCAGTGAGCAATCTTCTGCACCTCAGGAGACACACACATCCCATGCCCTAGCAATGAGCCACCCAGAGATGATTTTTCAAACATAAACCATGCAGAGGGCACAGATGCATTGCTGGGATACAGAAAAGGCCCCTGGGGAATTTGGTGACTACTGTCCAGCTTGGGGATCAATAACAAATATTAGCATCAATGCAGGCAGATAGCTTTTAAAGACTCCCTGCCAAAAATACCCCCAGGGAAAACTGAGGTAACCGCAGAGCATTTCCTATGTTCCAGACGAATACTTTTTGATACACCAAGTGGTACTGAGTCAAGGTCTAACTTCTTTAGTGGGAAAACCATTAACTTACTGAATCCTAAAGGGAAACAAATTAAAAGCAGCAGCATCCCAGACTCAGTGTATTCCGAGTCTTCATTAAAACATCAGGTGTTGTTGCTAAGGGTTGTTGAGTTGGTACTGACTTAAAGGAATCCTGGTGTGGCACTGTAGATAAGCACTGGACTACTTAAGGTTGGTGGTTCAAACCCACCAGCTGGTTTTTAGAAACCGTAAATAGGGTATATAGGGTTGTATGAGCCAAAACTTGACTCAACAGCACTTAACGACAACAGGGCAGAGAAAAGTAAAGAGGTGAGGTCTGTAGCATGGAAAAAGGGCTGGAGGAGTGGGATAGGACCTGTTTCCATAGATATTCAACAGCCTGGTGGTGTGAAGCAGGAATGGTGCTGCTATTCTACTGGGCCAACATTCTCATCAGACTGTCGAATATTCTAGGAGCTTTACTAGAAGAAGCAGTTTTAGGATGGGGTGATGGTCAGAACACCATTCACAACTAAACCAGGCATCTTTTACACTCTGCCTTGGTCCATAAGGACTGGTTCCTTGTAGTAGACCCTTTGAAGTACAGAATCAGACACACATTTTATTGTGGGGAAAAAACCATCATATACAGTCTAAAATAACAATAGATGGCATTCGTATGCACTAACTCATGATAAAATTCTCCTTAGCTTAGAAAATACACCCTTCACGTAGCTGCTGGGAGCAAACACTGCAATGCACCAAAGCCGTTGGCCTGCATCCCCAGCCTGTGTGGAGCACTCAATCAATAAGCCTGGACAGGCGCGGAGGAGGGTTGCAAAGAGGTGGGAGGAAGGAGGGAGGGCATGCTGTGGAACCCCAGAGAGAGCAGAGAGCCTGATGGGATCATAAAACAACAACAGAAATCTCGGCCCAGCAATCAGATGGAAGTGGCCTAGGATTAGGCCGTGTGCTGACTTGGCAGGCTGGACATGTCCAGGGGAAAAAGACCCGGACATTTCACTCAGAACTGACTCAGGCCATGGCCTGAGAAACCACCTTTGTACACTGGAGCAAGCTTCTCCTTACAGGAAAGTGCCCACTCACCAGAGAAATATTCAGCAGTAAAAGGCACTGTGCCCAAAATTGTTAAAAGCATCCAGGGACCAAAACCAAGGCTGACTGAGTCCTTGGCCATTGTTAAGCGTCAGGATTAAGAGATCACTTATTGTTCTTGTGTCTAAGAAATAATTTTCTAGCTGTATACACACACACACTTTATTAAACGCAAACAAGACCCTTTACTTCCTCAGATTACCACAGCCAGCAGCACTTCCCGTCCATGGCAGATCTCTCAGAGGAAGCCTGGGTATTTTATGTAGGCAGGAGTACAAGCAGAGCTATAAATACACCAATCTCTCTGAAATACTGAAGGGCTTAACCATTCCAAAACTGGATTCTAATGAATCCAGGTGGACACTAAAATTGGGCTGAGGAGCGGACTGGTTAGCTGGTGAAACCACTTGGTTTTGGACCCCAATTGTCATCTTTATTCAAGAGCAGAGCTGAATGGTGGGATATAGCTATTATGCGATGTAAAAAGAAGAATTTACTGAGGAGAAAGTAAAGCTTAAATTTTTTTAAAACTTCAACCACCACCACCTCTCTTACCAATCTTGGGGTGGGTTTTAAATTTTTTTCTTAGTCATTGGCACCTGATTTCAAACCTTCTAACATTTACAGTTTAGGGTGTGAACCAAAGACCTCTTGTTAGGAAGACTAAGGTCAACCCTTACATCTAAAACACTACTGTATTGTATGTATCTCAATTGCACATGCCTGCTCCAGAAGGGGTAGGGCTGCAAAACTGCTGTAGTTCTGTGAATGAGCCTAGAGGAATGCATGGGATTTAAAGAATGCCCTGTCCCACAGAGAAGCCTAACACTATTATTAGACTGCTGAGGGTGGCATCTGCCAGTGAAGGGGACAGAGGCAGGCTCAGGGGCTGAGGCAGGAGCAACAGCAGGAGCCGGGCTCCTAGGATGGAGTGTCCAGTTGGAAAGACAGTGCCTGTCAACATACATTCACTTTCTTTCACCCATTCACTCACTAACTTCTTTATTTTAAAATACAAACACATGAAATGAGGGCACATCCAAGGAGACCCTTTCTGATACGGAGGGTGCATTACACCTTTTGTTCTTACCAAGAACTCTACTGTTTAGTCAACATCTGCTTGCAAGAGAAACAGCTCATGAGTCCCCTCTGAGAGAGTACATAAAAGGGTTTGGGGTGACCCCAGCATGAGACACATTTCGAAAGTGGTAAAGCTCTCCGAGTTCATTTAAAAAAGAAATGACCCCCAAATTAATATTTATTTATCCTTCTCCTGAAGATGAAAAGATACACGGGCCCTTTTCTAGAATATCTATGGGGAAGTAACTAGCATGGGCCATGGACAGCGCTTGCTCTTAAACATGCTTAGTCAAACTGAGAAGGTTGGGCTGGCAGAGCACAGATGGCTACCACAGTACATGAGGAAAACACTTGCTCCCTCACTTGTCACTTGCTGGTTGCTGTTGTTAAGTGCCGTGGACTCATAGTGACCCTCTACAAGAGCAGCTGGTAGGTTTGAACCACTGACTTTGTGGTTAGCATCCCAGTAATTATCCTACACCACCACACCAGGACTGATATTGGTCACTTAGGAAATGAAATGGCACAGGAGGAAGAAAAGAACTGTTTACGGAACAAAGACTTTTCAGGTTTCCAAGCTCAGCAGAGTGACTGGCACTCCCCTAGCCTATTGTTTCAGACTCTTCCAACCTGCAGGTAAGAAAGTCAGTCCCTGAGGCTGCCATGGCCCCTTCCCTGGAGGCCACTGCCCTACAGGTGTAGCTCACTGGCAAGCCCGGGTTCTGACACATCTGGGAACCAGAGCACTCAGTGTTCCTGACAGGGCCACATTTTGGTCTTCTGTCACAGCCCTGGGCTACAAAAATCCTAATACAAAATGAATCCGCAAACACTGGTAAGCCCTTGGCCTCTACAGACCTTCTGATCTTGTCCCATTATTCAAATGACTATCTACGGGTTGTAATACTGTTCATTTTAGGCATGTTTATTCCCACACTCTGAAAGTTGGAGTGTTGTTTTTTTTTTAAAAGATTTTATCATCTACAAATCCCTGAGAGTAAATCTCTGTCTAATCACACTCAATGTCTTCACATACATAATTCTGTAATATAGGAACCAGGTCTGTTAAATTCCTCTATTTAGAAATCATATTTAGCTTATAGGAAAAGCTTTTTAATGATGATGACTTGCTTGCATTTATGAATATTCTTAAACACTACCTTTTCTGCTCCAAGCTGCTCCTTACACAGACAAAATTCCTTCTAATTTTTTCTCCATACTCTCATCACACCAAACACAGAAACTTTGAGAAACAAGAGCCCATGCTGCTCTGGGCAGTCACAGAAGCCAGATACTCAGAGAAATCTTATAGAAGAATGATTTCTGATTATAAAAATACATTTCTTTTCATCCACTAGATAACACAGAATACATCCCAAATCAAGATCATTAATTGCCGCCAAGTGGACTGTGACCCTGACAGATATGTTACAGCCTACGGATGACAAAGTCCTTCCTGGAAACATCATCCCTGGACTTTAAAGCTGCTGGTCATTTCTGGAATCCAGGTCTAGGGCAACATCCAGGGCCAAGAATTGGGGGTGAAGGTCAGGGTGGACAGGCAAGCTTTATATACTGAATTAGGTTTGATAAAGTAATTCTTACACTGCTTTCTAAAATAATCTAATTTCATTCATTTTTGTCCCCCCAATACCAGAATGGACTCCCTGGCTCCTCTCTCTGTAGATCCCTGTATCTTCACTTGGCACTTGCTCACTTCCTAAAGCCCCAGGATTGGGATCACACACACCTTTCCTGCCCTTCTCTCATCCCTGCAATCACCAACATTCCTGAAACACATTTGGGCTCACAATTGCATTTACCTTAAGAACTCCCATTTAAAAAAGAAGAAAAAATATAAAAATTAAAAACAAATTCCTTTTATCCTCCTCTTCTCTACATTTCCTTCACCATCACGTTCATCTGAAAGAAAGTTCTAGCTGCCTATAACCAGCACAGATCCAGTTTCCATAAAAGAGAGGAAAAATTAGGGTTCCGTGGCACTTTGCTCCCGGTCACCCACTCTGGGGCATCACTGTCAAGAGGTGCCAACTGCTCTTGCTCACCAACAGGAATATTCATAAATTAAAAGTTTTCTTTGAAAATGCCATCCTCAGAGTCGGCTCCATCATGCAGTGTTTTCCCAATCACCCTGGGGTTCCACAGCGCCATTGGTCACCTTCTTGACTTTCTTCATGTTTTCCATCACCCCTGAGGTCGTCACTCTAAACAAAGGGGGAAAAAAACCCAATTAGAAAAATTCTCAAGTCTTACAGTAACACAGCACAGTGACCAGAATTAGAGGAGTTAAGGGCAATCAATGGCTATGGAATCAGACAGAGCTGGGGCCAAGTCCTGACTGGCTCCTTGCTCCCTCTGTGGTGGTGGTAGTTGCTGCTGACTCAATGTCGAGTCAGTTCTGACTCATGGGGCCCTGCTGTGTGCAGAGTAGAACTGCTCCATATGGTTTTGAAGGCTGTGATCTTTAGGAAGCACATAACCAAACATCTATCATCAGAGGTGCCTCTGGGTGGGTTTAAATGGTCAGCCTTTAGGCTAGTAGTTGAATGCTTAACCATGTGCACCACCCAGGAATTCTGATGGTTGTAAAACCTTGGCCAATTCACCTAACCTCTCTGTGCCTCAGTATGATAAACTGTCATAAGCAGAAAATGAGCTTCTACAATGTGCCCAAATCCATCAATATCAACTATGACTATTACAATCATTAATCTTTTTGTCATGGTCTCCATAATTTTTGATACATATATATACAATAGTTTTAATTTTAAATCAAGGTCTGTTATCATAATTAGCATTCAGAAGAGTTTATCAGCTCTACAGACATTTATAATAATTACAATGGATCATTTTAGTCAGGAGCAGAACCACATAGCTTAGGAGGAACCTTCTGGGCCAAAGATTCTCTGACTATGACAAAGAAGTGGCTGCTTTCTGAAAACCTAAGCCAGTCCAAGTACCTGCCCATTAGCATGTAACCTCTGCCCGTATCCACTGTGAGCTAGTCACACTGGGCAGGTGACACAGAGACATCCACTGACTGTACCAACTACCAGTGGAAGAACTCTGATCCTCAGACAGTGTGAGGAGCTAAGCAAGACAGCCTTTCCATGAGTCACAAGTTCCCTTGACAAGGAAAAGGGTCTATGTGAGCTAGACAAATTCTATGGATCACTGAATCTATGAAGGAAGAGACATTAACTAGCATGTCAAACCACCAGGCCCAGTATGTCCTTCAAGTACTAAAGGAAATAATGTGAGAATTATGTCCTCTATCATGGACCAGTGGGAATTTCTAATTAGTATAATAAATTTAATTAATTCAATGCATTCTCTGCAAGGATCCTACCTACCTTGCTCCCAACCACAAAATTCTTTCACCTAAAACTGGTCTGTATGTGACACATCTAGAGCTTATCATCTTGTCACTGGGTAGGGAATGAAAATTACCCCAATCTCCTTTTTACTGCCACTATGTTGCTGCTGTGCCCAACCTCCCTTAAAGCTATACAGTCTTCCCCAGAGTCTGGACTTGTCTCAAACCAGAGTCCTTCAGACTTAGAGGCTATTTGTATTTCTGGCAAAATTTAGGACAAGGTTCTCTTTGCTGGAATGTGGTTCTTATTTGAGTGAAGGATTTCCTGCAGATGCTCTTATAGGGACTGCAAAAGCATCACCAAAACACGCCTCAAAAGACAGAATACAGGATCACTTCCTGTTGGCTGGCTCACCCTTCAGGCCTGACCTCATTAAGAGACAGCACACTTCTCCCCAGGAGAAATATGATACACGCAGAGTTGCTTCTAAAATAGCCTTCTCATATGGTTAAACAAACTTGGGCACATACACACAACAGAATACAATGCAACACTGAAAAATAACAAATCTACACAACACCTCACAACATGGATGAACCTGGAGAACCTTATATTGAGTGAACTAAGTGGATCACAAAAGGACAAATATTGTACGAGACCACGGTTGTAAACAGTTAAGAAAAGGTCTTCCTGGTAAAAGAAATATTCTATGATGGTTGGGGATGGGGGTGGATGGGAAGAGTAGGGAAAATGATTCACAGGTTAAAGGGTAGACACATGTTAACATGGATGACAGGGCAGGTAATATACAAGAGGAAAGATGTCGGTAGCAGGAGACACAGGGAGGAATGCAATAGTTTAAGTGAATAGAGGTAAACACTATTAACTGTTGGTCATGGAAGGGATTGCAATCATTGTAATGAAGCAAAGTATATGATTTGATAATCTGCTCTGTAAACCTTCACTCAATTCACAAAAAGTTGAAAATAACAAAGTGGCCTTCTCCAGACTGGGATCCTGGGAGGTAGTGAATCTTTTTGCCCCAGTGAATCACTAGCCTTTCTAACCCCACATCTAATCAGATCAGAAAAGAGAGGCAGCCTACAGTCCTGCAGAAACACTCCCTGTCATCATGGAACGGAGCGTGATTACAGCCCCTTGGATTTTTGCTTTTGTTTTTACAGTAGAACTAATAAAGGCGAGGACTTCAACACGCGTTAAGGCTGAGAAGCAAAGTACACTCATCGTGATACGGATATGGTTTCTTTCTAGCTGGTGGACCAACTGAAAAAACAACTTTCCTCTTTCATGACAGGCTCTGTGTTAAAGACATAAGGGAGGTGAGGAACTGCTGCACATAGATCCCATAGCCTGGAGGAGTATGATGGACCAACAATGCAAAAGCACTCAAAATACAGCAGCAGATGGAACCAGGTTCAATAATGACTCAGGGAGAGAAGGATCACCCCTGCTCAAGAAAATGTGGGAAGCTTTGAGATGTACTGAATGCTGCGAAGGAGCTGGTCAGCAGGATGGATGGAAGGCAGGAGAGCAGGGGAATTTCTGAAAAGAAAAAACAAAACACGGAAAAGCATGAAGGTGGCTGAAGTTTCTGACAATGCAGCAAGCAGTGAGAAAGAACAAGACCTATGAGAGATTAACACCCTGGAGCCAGCAGGGACACAAGGAGGTGGTGCTTCAGCAACTTCACAGCTTCCGGATCACTTCCCTGGGTGTCCTAGTTTTTGGTGCAAACACTGAAGAGGGCCAAAGAGCTGAGGAGCCAGTATCTGAACAGCAGTCTGTATCATAGATAACCATTCTCCAATGCCTTAGACACAAGCATGGAATGGAACTCTACAAAGCTGAAGGTAAGCCATGAGCAGTGGTGATTGTCAGTCTCCTGGAGCTGCGCACATCATGACCCACCAGCACTCCATGGAAGGGGAACTTGACGTCTGCAGAGGGGAGAGACCTGCCCTTCTTGCCTCTGCTCATTCCTTCTTTGCCCAACTGGTTCCTTCTGCCCTGCTTCAGGAAGCCTGCCCGGACCATACCCAAGATGGTGAGTGTCCTCTCAGCTCCTACTGTAGGAGTCTCTACTGGCAGACCTGCTCCTGCACTAGACCATGAGCTCCCCGAGGGCAGGACTTCTGCGCATGCTGGTGCTCCACAATTGCCTGGAGGGATGATGGAGCTGCTCACAGAAATACAAGCAGGTTCAGTGTCCATGGCAGCTGGGCCTCTCTGCTTGCCAAGCCCAACACACATCCTAGCAGACGCTGTTCTCTCTCTGGTGCTGCTAAGGGAAGCAGTTCTCTGGGCTGGGATGGCACTCCTGACTTTAGGAGGGTGCCTGCCTCAAGGGTAACTGCCTCAAGTCTAGCAGCTTCCGAGCCTATCTGAGGCAACAGTGCTAAGTGAAGTGAAGGCTGCTCCCAGTGAGACCTGTATGAGAGTCTGCAAAGCGTAAAGAGTAGGAAGGAACAGTGGGATACCCGAGAGAAGCAGACGCCCAAAAGAAGTATCCAGGTTTCGGATAGAAAGAAAGGAGGAGCTATGGCTCAGGGACACTGTCTGTCTGTCTTCTATAACTAAATGTTGCACCCTGTTTTACTTGTTGTTCTTAACTATCTATAATAGCAATTTGTTGTTGTTGTCAAGTGCCATCGAGTC